TCCATTTTCCCTTTTACAGATCATGCTTTTGATTTCAAGTTTAAGAATTCTTTGCATAGCCCTAAATGCCTAAGATTTTCTGTTTTTTTCAAACATTTTACAGTTTTACATTTAAGTGCATGATCCATTTTGACTTAATTTTTGATAAAGTATGATATTTAGGACAAGGTTCATTTCTCTGCCAACAGCTGTCCAATTGCTCCAGCACTATCTGATGAAAAGGCTACCCTTCCTCCACTGATGTGCTTCAGCATCGTTGTCAAGGTGAGGTGGGTGTACTGTGTGGGTGGGTCTGCTTCTGTGTTCCCTACTCTGTTCCAGTGATCAGCGTTTCGGTCCCTCTCCCGATACCACGCGTCGTGTTTACTGGAGTTCTACAGTCTTTACACTGGGTACAGAGATTTCTTTTCATCTCCTTTATCTTTCTTTCTCAAAACTGGTTTAGCTCTTCGAGGTTCTTTGCCTTTCCATATAAATGTTAGAATAAGCTTGTCTATGTCTACAAAAAATCTCATTGGGCTTTTGACAGGAATTGCATTAAATCTATAGATTACTTTGGGTAGAATTGAAATCTTTATTATGTTGAGTCTCCCAATCCATGAACACAGTTTGCCTCTCCATTTATTTGAGTCTTCTTTGACATCTTTTATCAGCAATTTTTAGTTTGCTGACACACAGATCCTACACATTTATACCCAAGCATTTCATTTTCTTTGAAGCAACTATAAATGATACTGCATTTTAGATTTCCATTTTTACACGTTCTTTAGGAGCTCTGGTAGCAGAGTGCCTAAGGCACTTGACTGCTAACAAGAAGGCTGGCAGTTCAAACCCATCAGCCACTCCTTGGAAGGAAGGTTGGGCAACCTACTTCCATAGTGATACGGCCATGGAAACCCACGCAAGGTCGCTATGAGTCGGGTCCAACTCAACAGCACATAATAACAACAACACAACACACATTCTTTGTTTGTGTAAAGAAATGTGATTGATTTTTGGCTGTTGATCCTATATCCTACAACCTTATTTCCTATTTGCTAGCCTTTGTCTGGGAGCTCTGGTAGCATAGTGGCTAAGACACTTGCCTGCTAACCAGACGGCTGGTGGTTCAAACCCACCAGCCACTCCTCAGAAGGAAGGTTGGGCAATCCTACTTCCGTAGTGATACTGCCTCGGAAACCCAAGGAGGGGTCGCTATGAGTCGGGTTTGACTCGATGGCACATAACAACAACAAGCCTTTGTCTATCTTCCCCATTAGGCTGGGGATGCTCTGAGGATAAAAACTGGTCCTTGCTGGTCTGATAGAGCCTGGTGAAACCCCTGATACTATGGCCCCTAGCTGCCCTTCAAATCTGGAATTGAACTCACTCCTGTGACTTCCAGCCAAATAACAGGCATATGGGCTGAACATTTACATCAGGTAGATAGATACACTCCTTGGAGAGATCAATCATGGGAGAAAAGAAGGGCAGTATATACACAGGGAGACAGCTGCGGGGGGTGGGGGGAGAGGGCAGGAGTGCATGGGAGGGAAGGGCACAGGGAAGAAGTAACTATGGGGAGGAAGTGGAAGAGAGCTGTTCATTGTGGGAAATTGCAGTCAATGTCATGAGACAAAGTGTATGTGAACTGCTGTATGAAAAATTAATTTGCTCTGTAAACTTTCACCCAAATCACAATTAAAAAAAAAAAAAAAAAAAGGTCCTTGTTCACTGCTGCATCCCCAGCACCAGCACAGCACCTGAGACACACACAGGAGGCACAAAAATGTTACCAGATAAACGAGTGCTAGAACAGTGCTATATAGGTCAGGCTGTGGAAGCCTTGGGAGAAACCTGAAACCTGTTGCCATCAAGTTAATTCTGACTCACAATGACTCTATAGGACAGAGCAGAACTGCCCCACAAGGTTTCCAAGGCTATAATCTTTACAGGAGCAGATAGGAGAAACCTGAAGACATAACTAATTCCTGATCCAGATTCTGACCTTGAACCACCAAGAAACAGGTCATTTCCCATTCCCAAACCTCACCAAATCTATGAACTGAAGCTTCCCCTCCTACACCACACCTATACCAATGCCTCCATGTCCTGACCACACCCATCCCTTTCCTAACCCTGCAATCATGGGATTTAAAAAAAAAAAACAAACACTGCCTCATAGCAACCCCCACTGGGTTTCCAAGGTGATAAAACTTCAGGAAGTAGATTGTCTCATTTTCCTTCTGTGGAGCAGTTGGTGGTTTTGAACTACCAACCTTCTGGTTAGCAGTCATATGCCTTAGGCACCACAGCACCAGAGCTCCTTTCATGGGATCTAGTCCTCTCAAGTAGTTCTCAAAGGCCGCTCATGACCCTCCGGTATCTGCCAAGCAGTACCTTGGTAAGCAGCCCATATATTCCAGTTTTAGGGACCCATGATTATAACCACAGGTCCCTACTCTGGTTACTCCTCTAGCCCTCTGGCTCTTGGGGAAGATTATGCCCACCCTGTCTCAGCTATTTAAGAGGTACCACCATCTAGTCTCTGCCCATCCTGGGTCCTATCCCTCCCCTGAGGTCAGAGAACCCAGTTCTAGTACCTCAGTGGTTCTCCTACTCTGATCCCCAGACCAGCAGTATCAGCACTACCTGGGAACTTGTTAGAAACGCAAATTCTCAGGTCCTGCCCCAGACCTACTGAATCAGCAGTTCTGGAGGTAGAACCTGCATCTGTGGTCTAACAAGGCTTCCAGGTGATTTTGATGCATGCTCCATTTGAAAACTAGCAGACCTAGTGATTCTCAATCCTGTGTGCACTTTAAAATCACTCAGGGACCTTTAACAAGATGCCTGTACCAGTGGTCCGAAAACTTGTTTGCACATTAGAACCACCTCTAGAGCCACAGATGCCTGTGTCCAAGCCCTAGAGAATGTGATTTTACTGGCCTGAGGGAGTCCTGGGCTTTGAAATGTCCCCAGGTGATTCTAATGTGCAATAAGTTTGGGAACCACTAGCCTAGACCAATGAAGTCAGAATTCCTAAAGGTGGCCCCTTGCCTCCCAGATGATTCTAATGTGCAGTCAAGGTTGACCCATTGGTCTTAACTCACTGGCCACGCCCTTGGCTGTAAGGATCACTCTGCAGTAGGACTTCCCAAATCTACCTCCTCAACCCCAACTTCCCCCGTGTTTCAACTCCATGTTCCCTACTGCCTAGAGAACCTTCCTACCCATATGTCCCCCATCACCTCTAACACAACACTTCAACCTAGAGGCCCCTGACCTGCCTTGCAGAGCAGAAGTACTCCTGCTTGTAACACAAGCAGGGTCTAGGATTTATCCTTCACCTTCCCCTCTGAACTGGCTTTCATTCATTCATTCATTCATTCATCCATTCAAACATCTACTGAAGGCCTCATGATTACTGAAGGCCTTATTCTCAAGCGAGGGGACACGCAGATGAACCACCACCCATCTGTCAACTTGCTGCCCTGTGGTGGCTTGCATGTTGCTGTGATGCTAGAAGCTGTGCCACCAGTATTTCAAATACCAGCACCCATGATGGACAGGTTTCAGCTGAGCTTCCAGACTGAGACAGACTAGCAAGAAAGGCCTGATAATCTGCTTCCAAAAATGAGCCAATGAAAACCCAATGGATCACAGCTGAATAGTGTCCGATATAGTGTTATGATCATGAAAATGGTGCAGGACCAGGAACCATTTTGTTCTGTTGGGCATGGGGGTCACCAAGAGTCAGAGCCAACTGGAAAGCAACTAACAATAGACATGAACAAGACATAGCTCTAGCCTTCAAAAGACAACCAACCTCCCCATCAATACAGCTTTCCCCAAAGCAGGCCACACGCTCCATTCCCCTTATAAAGAATCACACTGCACATCCTTACTATAGGCTCTGAGAAGACCTACAACAAAGAAACCTGTTCAATTTGGGTTGATCCAGCATTTCCCAATCTGTTGTCTATAAAGCCTTCTCTCCATCACCCTCGTTTTAAAGTTATATCCATTAACAATCCATAGAACACTGGGAAAGACTAGAAATGAAGTAAGTCGTCTTTGATTCTTTATACCCATGTCCCACTGTGTAAGGCATCTCACATTTTTTCTGCAACATGTCAACATGTCTTCATTATCATCGTCACAGGTCAGACTCACACACCTCACACCAGTACTACTATGCCCCTCCTGGGCCTCTCTCCTGACAGCCTCCCAGTCCCATCTGCCTTATACACCTCTACCCAACAACCTAAAGCTCTGTTCTCTCAATCCTGCCAACCAACTTGAAAGAGGCAATAGAGCAGATGGGTTAAGCTCTTAGATTTAGGAGTGTGACAGACATGACATCAAGTGCCTGATCTGCCATCTACAAGCTGTGCAACCTTGAGCAAGTCACTCGATCCGAATCTCACTTCTCTCGTCTATAAAATGATGGTTTCAATCGTAACATGTTCATTGGTAGCTGTGAAGAATGAATGAAATGAACTGTAGGGCGTTAAGCACTCAGTAAAAGCCCACCCGTTCCTCACTGCCCCCCATACTGCTATCCCCCCTTCAGGATCACTACAGCTGCAATCCTGCCAGTTTACCATTTGACAGCTTCCCAACTGATTCCTCTATGTATGCTAGTCTTATAAGCTCTTGAAGCCCTAAGCCAAGTCTTTAGCTTCCTGTTAATCACTCCCTCCTTGAGGTTACCTCCCTATTTGCTTACATTTCTCACCCCCATTCACCTGCCTTCTTGTCATAGCCCCTAGATCCTATACATCTTAATGGTGGGAGCCTTGCCTCTCTGTGTATGTACCTCCAGAACGGTGCCTGGCACCCAGTAGGCACTCAACCAGGTGTGCTGAACAAACCTCATGCTGGGCATTCAGTAGGCACTCAGCCAATGCTCAAAATTACAGTGTTGGACCCCCAAGCAGGGAGAGCAAGCACAGCACTGTGTGAACCTTGCCAACAGAACGTGTTATGGAAACAGCAAGTCCCAAACCAATCCAAAGACCTTTGTGGGGGCAGAGTTATTCATCAAATTCTACATAAACAGGCCAGGCAAGAGGTCAGACTCACTTGGCCAGAAAACGCCTATCATCTTCCAACTCTTTCTGTCTCCAAACAACGTGGGAGAACGTTAACTATCCCTTTACCTAAGCTCTCACTACCTATTGCTAAACAGTACAGTGAATGAACCAAGTTCTGGGTCAAATGCACCACAGCCTCAGTCCCACCCCTGCCACTCGCAATTCTTAGGGTAAACTCAAGTGGTGTTAATAATCACCAACTCATAGGGTCACTAGAGGAATTACATATAATCTACAGGCAATGAACGCCTCACTTAGTATCAGTACGAGCTGCCATTGAGGTGACTGCGACATACGTGTCAAAGTAGAACTGTGCTCCACTGGCCTTTTCAACAGCTGATTTTTTTTTCAGAAGTAGATCATCAGGCCTTCCTTCCAAAATGCCTCGGGGTGGACTCCAACCTCTAACCTTTCCTTTAGCAGCCAAGCACATTAACTATTTGCATCACTCAAGAACTTCTCATTCATAGTTGGCACTCAATAAATATCAGTCCTACAATTCTCTCACTCTACATTTAAGTGGGCATAGGCCAGAGATGAGTTATTCTAATCTGCTGAATAATAAGACACTGGTATCTTATGTTATAGAGCAGTGGTTCTCAACCAGGGGTGATTTTGCACCTAGGAATCTCTCAGCAATAGCTGGAGACCGTTTTGATTGTTCTCACTGGAGAAAGGGAAGCTACTGACATCTAGTGGGTAGAAGCCAGTGATGCTTCTGAACAGCCTACAATGCACAGGATAGCTCTCCCTAACAAAGAATTATCCAACCCAAATGTCTATTGACAGTAAGGTTGAGAAACCCTGTGATAGGATAATAAAACTCAAAAATCCTGACCCCTTTCCTTCCCATCTGCCCATGTGGCCCTCACCATTGCTGTCTACAGATTCAAACACTAACAGCTGAGCCTGAGAGGCAGCCTCATACCCCGGTCTCTCACCTTCTTTCCCAAATACACAAACCAACCTCTCAATGCCTGTGGACAGGATGGCAGTAGAGCTCTTCAGTTCCTCATAGAGATCAGCGCCATTGAAGGGGAAAGCTGAGAACTGAGCCAGCAGCACCCGCCTCACAGCAACCAGGGCCTGCCAAACAGGATGGGACAACTTAGGATCCACCAGGGCACCTCGATCCAAAGCAGGCCACAAGGAACCATCCAAACGAGGGGCACCCAGGGTCCCATATCCTCCCATCAGTAGCTGGTACCCCTTTGCTCCCCTGGCTTCAATATGGATACTTTAAGACACCCTGGTTTGGAGCTGGGATGGTTAGCTCACCTTATAAGACAAACCACATTTCTGGGCTATTTCTTCCAGATCTGCAGAAACCAGGTCCACCACTGAAAACAAAATACTTGTAGTTGACTGCCTGGAAAGGGAACCTTTCCCACACTTGGCTTTTCCTCATCTGTAAAATGGGCTAACAATTCTATCTAAAAGAACAAAGCCGCAGGACCTGGCAGAGTGCCTGACACGCAAGAAGGGCTCTACACTCCCTCCCCAAGGGTCTCTCCAGAAGGTGGAGGGGGCTGCAGCCGGGAAGGGCCCCCCGCCGCGCAAGCACGCCAGGGTCGGTCCAGGCTGTGTATAGAGCACACGGCTCTCTAGCACGCACACTAACACGCACACGCGGTCACCTGTCTTGATTCCGCGATTCCTCAGAAGCTGGACCATCTCCTGGGTGAGGCCTGGACACAGTCCATCCCTAAGCACGCCCATGTTCGCTGCAGGCCCAGGACAACTCGGGAGTGAGGGCTGCTTGTTACGTGGGTAACCGCCAAGTCCTCTCCAGACGCCTCTCCGCGCGGGTTTCAGGAGTGCGCACTGGTGGCCCCCGCGGCAGGAGGAGCGGCGGCGCGGAGGCACCTCGGGTGGAAACCGGCCCGCGCTCCCGAGCCCTGGGCTTGCTTGTTTCCTGGTTCCGGGTTTCAGGTTGGCGCGCAAGCTGGGCCTAGCCTGCAGCACCATCTACTGGCTGCGCATGGCGAAACTGAGTGCCTCCGCAGGCCCTTGGGGCTGAGCTTCCTTACCACCACCACCACCTTCTTTCGTCTGCCACCGCCCCACTCCCCACTCCATCCCACACACTCACAGGTTCATGCGTCACGCGACGCCCTGAGCACACCACGCCACACATCGCCCAAAATGCACAGCACACACACCATGCCCGGATCTGTCTCCCACATTTCCCCTCCCCAGCCCACACCCCCCACACACATACACACAGCCATCCACCCACCTACCCACCCACCTTCCAGAGAGCTTCCCTTGTGCCAGCTTCCATTCTAAATGCTGGAGGCAAAAGTTAAACAAGATATACAATTCCCTACACTCAGAGAGCTTACATTTTAGTGAGGGAAAGACAGACAATGAAAAAATAATCAAATAGATAAATCAGATAATTATAGATTGTATGATAGGTGCCGAGAAAAAGCAATGCACTTAGAGGCACCCTTAGTTCTCTATATTTTCCAAATTGCCTCTTTTTATGAAAATAAAATCTGAATATATAAAACACAACAAATATGATTTGTTATTTTTTAATGGCGTTGGTTTTGGCTTATCTACTGGAAGAAATTAAACAACTCTATGTGGTTATCTGAGAGCTCTGGTAGCATAGTGGCTAAGACACTTGCCTGCTAACCAGACGGCTGCGGTTCAAACCCACCAGCCACTCCTCGGAAGGAAGGTTGAGCAATCTTACTTCCGTAGTGATGATACTGCCTCAGAAACCCAAGGAGGGGTCCCTATGAGTCGGGGCCGACTCCAGGGCACATAACAACAACAACATGTGGTTATCTGGGAGCTCTGGTAGCGTAGTGCCAAAGGCATTTGACTACTAATCAGAAAGCTTATGGTTCAAACCCATCAGCCACTTCTCAGAAGGAAGGTTGAGCAGTCTACTTCTGTAGTGATATTGCCTCGGAAACCCAAGGAGAGGTCCCTATGAGTTGGGTCTCCACGGCAGGTAACAACAACAACATGTGGTTATCTCTGCACACAGTCCTATGAGAGAGGTGCTATTATTATTCCCATTTCACAGATGAGGAAACTGAGGCTTAGTGAGGTTAAGTCACTTGTCAGAAGTTATACAGCTAGGAAGTACAGAGCTGAACTTCAAAATCCACATCTAAATGCAAAAACATTGCTGTTTTAGGCAGAAGATAAACTAGATGAGTGGGACCTTCTAAAAATTAAATTTTTATGTGCTTCAAAAGACTTCTATAAAAGAGTAAAAAGAGAACCTACAGATTGGGAAAAAATATTCAGCAACAATACATCTGACAAGGGGTTTATCTCTAAAATTTATAGAAAACTCCAACATCTCAACAACAAAAAGACAATCAAATTTAAAAATGGGCAGAAAACATGAATAGACACTTCACCAAAGAGGATATTCAGGCAGCCAGCAAACACAAAAAGAAATGTTCATGATCATTAGCTATCAGAGAGATGCAAATCAAAACAACAATGAGATACCATCTTGCGCTAGCACTGATAGCAAAGTTCAAAAAGACAGAAAATAAAATGCTGGCTATAGTGTGGAGAGATTGGGACTCATACACTGCTGGTAGGACTGTAAAATGATATAACCACTATGGAAAACAGTATGGTAATTCCTTAAAAAGGTAGAATTAGAAATACCATTTAATCCAGCAATCCCTTTGTTGTTGTTGTTGTTGTTATGTGCCGTCGAGTCAGACCTGACTCATAGGGACCCCTCCTTGGGTTTCCGAGGCAGTATCACTACGGAAGTAGGATTGCCCAACCTTCCTTCCGAGAAGTGGCTAGTGGGTTTGAACCGCCAGCCGTCTGGTTAGTAGTCAAGTGCCTTAGCCACTATGCTACCAGAACTCCCAGCAATCCCTTTAGTAGGTATATATCCTAAAGAAGTGAGAGCCAGGACAAGAACAGACATATGCATACCCATGTTGATCGCAGCACTGTTTACAATAGCAGAAAGATGGAAACAACCTAGGTACCCATCAACAGAAGAATGGATAAGCAAACTATGGTGCATACACAATGGACTACTACGCAGCACTAAAGAATAACCTAGAATCTGCAAAACACCACATAACATGGATGAACTTGGAGGACATTATGCTGAGTGAAGTAAGTTAATCACAGGACAAATATTGTATTAGTTCCTTATTGTAAAAAGCTAAGGAAAGGTTTATATATGAAAGAAAACTTTCTTTGTTGATTACCAGAGGTGGTAGGGGAGGGAAGGGAACACTGCTAGACAGGTAGAGACAAGTATTGAGTTGGGTAAAGAGAAGGGCAAATTACCAAAGGTGAATGATCAACATGGTGGCATTGAGGAAGAGGAATACAGAGAGAGGTACATGGGAGGTACAGACAACAAAGATGAACCCTTTTGCATATACAGTACTGCATTGTCAGTGGTGGAAAACATTGATCTAGGGTGGATAGATGCATGGACAGGCTAAACGATCAGGTATGTCTAGGCAGAGGGGCAAGGGGTAGTGTGCCTGTGACCATGTATAGGATAGGCAGATGATGTTTCTACAAGCATATTTGTATGTGCCGTAAGAATGTCCAGGTGTATGGTGGAGTTGACGGGGGCAAGGATGTGGTGTCTTCTTTGCCATGGCCAGCTACCCAGAGGGAACAAATAGTTGGATCTGTGGGCTCGGGACCATGGTCTCAGGGGACATCAAGCTCAAATGGCATAACATACTACACAAAAAACATTGTTCTACAACCTACTTTGGTGAGTAGCAACTGGGATCTTAAAAGCTTGCAAGCAAAACTGGAGATCCATTTGCAGAAAAATGAAACAAGATCTGTGTGTCACACCATACACAAAAACTAACTCCAGATGCATCAAAGACATAAATGTGAAACCTAAAACTATACAGTTCCTCAAGGAAAATCTAGGGGCAAATTTATGGTTCCTGATATATGGCATGAACAGACTACCAAGCATAACCTAAAATGTACAAACAGCAGAACAGAAACTAGATGAATGGGACCTTCTAAAAATTAAATTTTCGTGTGCTTCCAAAGACTTCTCCAAAAGAGTCAAAAGAGAACCTACTGATTGGAAAAAAAATATTTGGTAATAATATATCTGACAAGGGACTTATCTCTAGAATTTATAGAAAACTCTAACACCTCAATAACAAAAAGACAAACAATCCAATTAAAAAAATGGGCAGAAGA